ACCCTAATCATGTCCAAATAAGCACAGAGGGAGGACAATAATATGTCCCTCCTGTTAGGGTATTTATTCACCTTCCAGCCAGGCATTATCCACTTTAATTCCTCTAACTTATCAGTCAAGCTTGCAATTATTCGTCCACCCAACCATGCATGTATTTATTGTATGACTGTGCTTCTGCAAGGCAGCTGTGAGCCCGCAAGCTTAACTTAGTGAAGTCAGAGGGAGACTGAAGGTTAGGGCCACCACAGGGGGATGGACAAGGGGCACACACAAACACGAATGCGGAAACCCACACAACCATATGTATTCCTGTCTCTCTTTTCCACATGTGTCTGCTCCCCTGCTTGCTAAGCCTCAGTGCAGTGAGTAAACATAGATACTTTGCACTTCCGCTCCATAAACTGCAACACCTGCCCCCAGATGAGCAGAGTTTGTGTGTGTGTGCATGTGTTTATGTGTGTGAGGGCCCCTGCTGGCTTCCACCGCTAAATGTAATGTACTGAACTACATAGCAGCTACCATATGTGACCCGCTCTATCGAAATCAGTCGGAAGTCGCAACGGCTCATTTCAAAATAAACGTGGATTTGCGTAAAAAACTATTTTTTCGGGGTTCGGGTGTTTTGTTTGATTTTAAATAAACAAAGTCTTGGCTTTCAGAATATGAAACTTTTATTTCCAAAATCACACGATAAATACATTTTTGAAGCTTGTAAAGGGAAGATGACAGGCACCTCTCATTCGCAATCTGCTCTTCCGCAGCGCCGCCCCCTCCCCCTCCGGCTGACATTATGAATGTACGCATATAGTAGTCATAGATAACACGGCAGGGTCCGTTACAGTTTGTTTTCATCTGATTTCAATTAAACAAAGTCTTTCAGTCTTTCAGATTATATTAAACTTGTTTCGGCAAATTCAGATGATAAATACAACTTTGAAGCTTTTAACGGCATAATTACAAGCGGAGAACCGAGTAACTTAACGTCACAGCTGGCATAACAACAGCCGGTGTTTCTCGTGAGGGTTTTCTCCGGGAAACAAACACAATACACACAAACGCAAAATTACCCAAACACACACGTATAAACACACACACTTGCGAGCTTCCCCCAGACCAGTAATCCAAACGAAAATATCTTCCCTCCATAATATTTTGATCATTTGCTCCACTAATAATCAATCAGATCGATGGATCCCAGAGAAGAAATAACTTTGAAGGCCTTTTTCTCAAAATGATGACTCGGTGACAGTCATTATATAATGTGACATATTTCGCTTAATATTTGGAGTACAAAAACAATCCTGATATCATTAGAAAGCTAGGAATCTCCTCTTTCCAACAGTGTATACAACTCAAAATGTCTCTTCGGGTCAATGTGACTGATTTCGATAGAGCAGGTCACATATTATATTGGATTTCCGTTGATGTTTCAAATCCAATTCCATTTCAAAAGTTGTGTTTTTGCAAAATTCCTGCTAAAACAAACACCAAGGGTTTTTAATATCACTCTTTGACAGCCTGCAGGGCAATACGGTAAATATGTCTACGTATTTTCCAATAGGAGACATAAACAGAAAAGGTACATGTAGGTGTTGGAGTGCAACAGTGATCTGGATAAATGCCACTACAGCGAATCATTTCTGCTTTTCTACACAACAGGCCTCATTAGCTTATTGGCAAGGCCCTCTATGATCCAGAAAATCTGCTTATATACAATGCAATAATTTGGGTCAGTCTATTAAAGCAATTCTTTGATTTATGACTATTTCAGGCCTGTGGTATCGACTAAGGATTCAAGGATTATTTATCGTTATTTTTCAAATGAAGATTGTACAACCAACAGAAGTTTCAGTCCATTTTTTCACACAAGAGAAACATGACAACAACAGTATTTCATCCCTATAAAGCGTCTTTTACATTTGTGTCAGTAGTTACCATAAACGTCAGTTACAAAAACAGCGGGTTCTCTGCAGATTATATGGCAGGCATCTTAACGTCTATGAACATTCGACATCAGAACAATTTGAAACATTGTCCATCAACTTTGACAATTTTATTTAGAAAAACAAAAATAGTTTATAATCCATCCTAATCATCTCAAAGTGTGCAATTACAACAAATACAACGTGCGTTACTTGAATATAAGGGTAGTAATACAAAAATTATGAAATAGCGTATAATATCCTGAAACTACATGAAGTCAAAGCAATGCGTGCTGTTGTCGGGACATGGAAATGGTTCCTGATCTGATCTTTTCTTTCAGTAAAAAGGATGTCAAAGGCAATCACCAGCACTCACTTAGCAATTAGCAAATTCATCTGAGCTCCTTATTACTCCAATTATTAGTCGAGCATGCCCTAAACGCACACATGAACTCGGATTATTGTCCCAACACCGCAAGGTCAGTCTACCGCTGAGAGGACGGATGCGACCCATGTAATCACCGAGGAAATTAAGAAGTGGGGCTTTGATCGGAAATCGGCAATTCTTAATTTAATTGTTTTTGCAGTCAGAAAAAAACTACTTTTGATCGGGATTTTGGGTGGTTTTAAAAAACGGGAGAAGATTCTGTCGAGAATTTCAGAGATCATGGACGTTTTTGGGTGGGGTGGGAAAGGGGCGCTTACAGCATCAGGTTCCTACATCTAAACACAATTGTATAAATGTATTCCAAAGAGTGCTATTGGTTTGTTGATTAATAGGCGGTGTTCAATGAGTGCTTAAAAATGTATGCAACCCAATCTAGTTTTTTTGTTGCATATTCACTAATTAAAGCACAGCGCAGCAGCAATTAAAAAACAATATGTTAATAAAATTGTCCATTTCCTTTTATAGGTGTTTAACTTTTCTCCAGCTATGGTATATATTTTCAGCATTATTATACGTTTGTGTTGTTTTACACTGAGTGAGATCATCTAAAACATTTTTTAGAAACCCAACTTTTAATGATTCAAATTCAACCTTCCGACAAATGTAGCCAAAACAAAAAAGTACCTTGCCCACACAAGACCAAGTGGTTAATTCACAGAAGACTTGAGTCATAGACTTTAAACTTAAACCACAAATAATCTTTGGGTGGTTTAGAGCTTTAAACATAAAGCTGTGTTCTTATTTTAATAAAATAAGAACACATGAAATAATTTGCAAGTTCTAAAATAATATAGTTGAATAAGGAAGAGCAAGATATATATTCATACAATTTGGGACCTGTATCAACTAATTACCTGTGACCCATGTTGAATGTATAACACTGGTTCAAAAAGGTATGCATTTTTAATGAAAGAAAGCTTACTGTTTTAATGAACAAAGGCATTCATTTTTGCCCTCTATAAGAATAGTGATGTGACTGCTGAAAGCTGTATACGTACATTAACATTCTCACTGGCCTGCATAGATAACCTTTTCCCCTCTACCGTTTGTTTCTCAATATCAGTAGCAGAGCCATATCAGGTGTACCTGCATCAATGTGTCTGGTTTATGACATTTAACATAAAACACATCCACAAATCCAATACTTTTGGAGCTGATAAGAGTTGCTGTGGAGCAAGACGATTGTGTGAAGTTCACCGGAAAACCTTCAGTGGGTTTCTGATGATAACACTCATGTATTCATATTTATAATTATGAACCACAGTCCTGTCAGTCAAAGCTTTGGGAGAAATACAAAAAACGTGTGTTAACAAATAAAAAAGGCCCAGAATCAGTGGAGATGTGTCCTTATTTAGCTTAAATAAAAAAAGCACCTGAACTAGAGTCAGCAGAATAGCATGGGGACTGCTGAGTTTTTAGTTTTGAATGCATACACACAAACCCACACCGGCATACACACTATGCTAATCGAAACACCTTTAACCTCCCACCTAAAATACATTCTTGAATTTTCTGTGTGAGCAGATGTGTTGGTGTTTTACATTAAATATTTGTTTTTACAAAAACTTGTTTGCCTATCTTTTTATGTGAATGTTTATATGTGTGTGTGTGTGTGTGTGTGTGTGTGTGTGTGTGTGTGTGTGTGTGTGTGTGTGTGTGTGTGTGTGTGTGTGTGTGTGTGTGTGCCTCCAGAACTGTAGCAAGCTGACTCAGCCTTGACAGTAGCAATCGGAAACAGGAGACAAGGACTTGGCTAACAGCATCAACCGGCAGCAAGGTCGGATGCGCACACACACACAGAACAACAAAGAAACTAACACAAACTTTTTGTTTCTACCTGCCATACTGGAATCAACTGTATATCTTATCTTGAAACAGATTAGAGGAGTTAATTGTTTCAACGTTTTTCAAAGTTAGGAGAAAAAAAAGAAAGCCAAGCAATGGATGGATGTGCCAAAGTGTGCGATTAAAGCAGCTTGTGGGTGGGGGGCTGGAGGGGGGTATAAATATCGCCCTTTTCTGGACACTTCGGCTTTTCTACTCTGTCACTCTCTTTCACACACACGGCGGACCAGCCCACTTCCTTACCAACCCCATCCCTCACAGCGCTGCCCAGACTTCCCACTGCAATTACTTATAAAAACTTTTCAGGGCCGCCACACGTGGTCAGGTTTTTAAAGAGCTGCGTCCCCCTCCTCACGTGGTGCGGGGGGTATTGAGTCGTCACAGACCCCCTGAATGATCACCGAAAAATAAGGCAGCGTAGACAATAGCTCGTCTTGATGAATTCAATTCTTTCAGGACCCTGTACCGTTGTCCAGGCAGCTCCGGGCAAAACAATCGTTGCTTTGATAGTCCAAGAAACACACACACTCGCTCGGTTGCTCTTAGAAACTTCCTCTAACTACTTCCGAATTGGGATCTAAAGATAATATACATCTGACCGGAACTTGTTAGGTTCTCTCAGTCCAAGAAGTCTCAGTTCAAACTCTTCTAACAAGATGTTTCCTGCTGCTTAAGCTGGTTTGAGGCGCAACTAATAAGAGAAGAAAGATCAACACGCTCGCTGGTGATGCCAGTAAAAAAATAAAAAAAGTTAAAAAGCAAACAAAATGACAGCTTGAACTGACCTGGTCTGCGGTGGTAGCGGCAGTGGTGTTCGAGTCGGACATGATTTGATGCTGTGACCCAGTGGTGCTTCTCTGCTGGCCACTGTAGGCTCCTTCATTCACACCTTGTCTTTGAGTTCCGCAGCGAAAGAGGGGGGAGAACACACAGTATACCCTCCCTTTTGCCCTGGCTTGATTAATGCCTGAATTACTTTCACCTCATTTCATCTGATGGAGCTCTGCTTCCTCTCCGCCTCTCTTGCTCATTCGGCATGGTAGCCCACTCTCTCTCCCCTCTCTCTCTCCCCCCCTCCCTTCCTTCTGCCATCCCGGCTGTGCCATCCCTCCCTCCTTTGCGCTCTTACTTTTTTTACTCACCCCTCCCTCTTTCCCCTCTCACTTTCTCTTTCTGCCCCCTTTTTTTCTGTCTTATTTCACCATTTCAGGAATATAAGCCCTCCCCCCCTTCCCCCTCCACCGGTCCCCCCTTTTTCCCCAACTCCCACCAACCCCGCCCACCCCCCATGTCAAAAAAAGAAACACAGGAGAGATCCACAGTCTTTTCCCTCTACCTCCACAATGAATGGCTCGTTGTCACTCCAGCACCTAGGCTGAATACAGAGCAAGTAAGCGGGAGAGAGGATGGGGGCGGTGGTGATGGGGACATGGTGGTGGGGGGTGCTAAACTTCTAGTTAAGCTGACCGGAGTAAAGTGGGGGGAGGTCTCGAGCACTCATGGGCTACGGCCAAGCTTTCTCTCTCCCTCACTCTTTCTCCCAACAGATTAAAGCGGGGGGACCCAAAAAAAAGTGAGGAGCCCACAAGTGAGGAGCCCGCACGCCTTCCATCAGACTCCCCTGCCTACCCCCCTCCACTCTTTCTCCCCGTCTCTCTTATTTCTTCCGTTTGTTTTCAGAGGCAGCTGCTGCAACTCTGCAGACCACCAACAACTTCCCTTTCAGCGGCACTTGACTCTTCCAAATCCTTGTCCGTCTCTACACCCTGACATTGCCAATGCTCCCCCCCCCACCACCACCACCACCACCACCACCCTCTGCCGTGTCACACCGAGGCCGGCGGAGCCAAGGTCCTCCTCCTCTGCCTCGTACGCGACATGTTCACAGAGTTACACCCTTTCAAATTCAAGCGCTTCCCTCCTGAGCCTCTGTTTTGTCGCACACACATTGTTATGCCTGTTAGCCACCATATGGCTAATGGTTACACACAACAAAAAGAGCGAAGAAGTGAGTGTGAGAGAAAAAGGTAAAAGTGCATCCGCTATAGAGCTGCGAACAAAAACATCACTCGTGCAGCAGAACGAGACTCGTCGTCAATTCTCTGACAGGATGTGGTGCTGGTAATGTCAACAGTTGACAAGCAACTGGCGCCTGGCCTAATGGGTGTTTGATAGCCGGGGACAATGGCCGCTGCCGCTTGAGTGGAGGCCCTCCAGTTATGTTTAACACAAGACGAGCAACACAGACAGGATGCTATTCATTTGTCTATCAATTCAGAGGATTAGAATCTCACAGGGGATCCAATGAAGGAATCATTACCATATACCCGCCCTATTCAGTGTGCTCAGAGGAAGTACTGAGGGCAATGAAAACAAGTGCCCGCACCAAACAGTCAAACATCTTGACATGTAATATGTACAGCCCAGTATATAGATATTTTACAGGGATAAAAGGCTTTTAAAATGACTTCTGTCTGACAAAATAGTAGATTAACCATCGTCTGGCAAATAGCAGTTTTCAACATTATCTTTTCTTGGGCTATGGGTCCAAACCAGTTCTGACCACATTTCATCAGTCAAACAAACAAGTAGCTTATGCAACTTACATTCCACACCACACAAACGCACACAAGCACCAAGGTACAGAAGAAAAAGTCAGGCAACCCCTTAATCACTCATATATATAGATCCTTAAGAGGATGCTCCTTCTGGCTTTCGTTTTTGGTGCAAAACCTTAGTTCTGAAAGTTACAGCATTGGATACCCAATTGTACAAAAGGTATCGCACATATTGATCTTCAGGACAAAGTAGTCTTTGAACTGGCCTCTATAAACAAACATACTTAAGCTTAAGCCAAGTGGCCTTAATCGGAGCTTGTATAAAACTAAACTTAGTGTTCCTCGCGACATGAATGCGTGTTGTGGCTGCAGCTGGCTGTTTGTGGAGGGGGAAGGATTTGTTTCATTACTTAATTACCCTATTATTTGAGGTCATTTAACTCTAATTAGAGAAGCACAGATGCTGCTGCTGATAACAACACCAACTTGTTTAAATTCTCACTTGTTTCTTGATGCTATCTAGAATACAGAACGGCCATTGTGAGGGAAAAACAATGTGGACAATGTGTATATTCGCTACATGTTGGAAACCACTGAGGCCTTTTGATGTTAAAGACACCAAGAGCCTGAACTGTTCTTATTTGGACTCTTTAATTTACCTTCACGTCCACCGACTGTGTACAAGCATGGATTTACTACCCGTTTTAAATATGGGGCAAATATTTCCAGAAAGACTCTACTGACTCTACTATATTCTTTCATTCAGTTGTACATTCAAAAGAATGACAGATTGTCCGTTTCAGAGGGTTGCATAAACTGTTGGACGCAGGGAGGGCTACAGCTAACAATTATTAATCCTACAACTGTTTTCTCAGTTAAGAAGTTAATCGGCAGGTTCAAAGTTGAATTTCCAGGTTTTCACAGCGGTACGTTTGGATATTGCTTTTATCTCTTCATAATTGCCTGTGGTATTGGCCTTAAAGAACTGTACTTTATTTGCTTAGGGAACATTTAAAAGCGTTCTCTGACAAGTCCACACTTCACAGTCCAGGGTTTAACATTTTGCAATGTGTATATTGCAGTGAAGTTATGGGCGTCTGAAGAGAGAAATACTGAAGTGTCTTTCAGACCGTGAAGGACAAACTTGTTTTGGGAGCCAATAACTCCATAAGCAAAGTGGAAAAACACAGCAGGCTGGGGTAGAGGATGAGTGACAGATGAAATCAAGACAAAAGGTGAACCATCAAACCTACAGACAGGATTCCAGGAACAGAAAATTATCTCCTTTCGTTTGAATTGTTTCCACTTCATCTCCTCTCTCATGTTTTTCTCTTCTTTTTTTCAAAGCACTCTTATCTGTGTTGACTAAGAAATTCAAATATCACCAAAATGCTCATGTAAGATATATCTCCTGCATGTCTTTCTTTTATGAAAGTTTGGTGACCCAAAAGGCCAATTAATGAATGAATTCAATATTCACTAGGGATTTACAAAACTGTGCAATTGTACATAATGTTATCACAGTTGGAACACCATGGGCTTTCTGTTTCTCTGTGTTTATTTTGTGTGTGTTTCCTCCCCCAGTCCGAAGGCGATGACCTGAAGTATGAGGGGACTGGGTCCATCTGTGATAAGTACCGTTTTCTTTTTGTATAACATGGAAAGTTGTCATCTGATACAAATTAAATGTTTGCTGTTGGAATGGATCAGACAAAAGCCATTCAAATCATTTTTTGTCTAAAAGATAGTAGATTGAGTTTAAGTGCTGTTACATATGCAAGTCAGCATTTACACAATTATGCCCATTCATACAGAGGTGCCACCTGCTCAAGGACACTCAAATTCACACACCATTGGCCATGCTATCGAGAGGAACTTGGGGTTAAGTATCTTGCCCAAGGATTCATCGACATGTTGACTGCAGGGGCTAGGAATCAAACCACTGATCTTACAATTGGTAGAAGACCACACTATCTGACCACCTTTCAATAGTAACAAAAACCAGGAGCTTATGCAACTTAGATTCCACTTTGAAGTTAGCACACAAACACACACAACCACCAAAATACAAGGCAAGTAGAGCAAACTCCAATGCTGACAAAGCAAACTAAATGTCACCCTTTAACATGGTTGGTAGTCGGCATAGTGATGGCATTACGGGTACTGTTGAGCTTAACCACTTTTTTTTCTACTTTTCCCAAAATGTATAGACAATTTTATGAACATTTATAAAATGTCATCCGTATGACTTAAAAACACATTAAGAAGGGGAGCTTGATGAAATTGTGTGCTGTTGGTGAGATGGGCTTTAACCATGTAAATCAAACTGTACACATTAAAAGAGATACATATAGCTTCTTGCCTTACATCCTTATTTCTTGTCCTTTAATATCGATGGATCAGCATGCTTTTACCCTGAAAGGCTATTCCTTGAGGGAACCAACCGCCAAGTCTGGGCTTATTACATCATCCTCGATCTATATATCTGTCCCTTACAGCAATCTGGTTAATATCTCTTCACTTATCGTTAGCTCAACATGCCTGTGATGGGACGTCTGACTGTGAAGGGGGCCTTGAACTGAAGGAGGCGTCGATAGGCCGGACATTCTCCCCCATCCTGAGCACTACACGTGAGGAAATGCTAAGAGAGTATGGCAGAACAGTCCAGAGGAAGATATGATAAGAGAAGTAACGACAGGATGAAATAAGTGAAGGAACGGGCCGCGAGGAGACACGGGCCGTTTCTCAATGTCGAGTATACCTGCTGCAGAGCCACTATTTCAAGTATACTACGTCATCGAGTGGCCTAATGCTGGGCATTTAACATGCATTTAAACAGTCCTTCGGCGCCACTCGATGACGTAGTATACTTGAAATAGTGGCTCTGCAGCATGTTTACTCGACATTGAGCACTTCACAGGGTTGAGGTTCACAATAGGACAAGCAACGCAGAATAAAAAAAGGGTAGAAACACAAAAAAGCTCAGTTTTGCAACAGCAGGTCGGCTTTGTCCAGCGCAACAAAAGGACAAAATGTATTGAGGCTGTGTTAGAGGGGAAAAATCAACCTTTCTTGTTCAGTCCAAAACAACCCAGCTCTTAAATTGGAAGCGAGGAAAGCAAGTGTGTGAGGAAAAACAGGCATAAAAAACATCAGTTGCAGAGCAGATAAAAAGAGAAAAGATCATAGATATGTTTTTGTTTGGCAGTCAAGCTGATCTGAGTCCAACACGACCCGACCTGGCCACGCTGGACACCCAGGGGAGAAAGACAAATGACGGAGAGGAAGACGAAAGAGCAAAGAAGAGGGAACAGAGAGACATTTCCAACGCTTGGTTTAACTTGAAGTTTCCATGATAATTTCTCTACCCATCCCTCACCGCTTTGGCTGGGAGGGCCCCAGCTGTTCGGTCTTGTATAAATAGCGTGAGGCTTCAGCTAGGACCCCCGGGGAGAGCAGGGCTCATTGG